CAGGGAGGTGTTCCCCCCGCCCCCCCCCGCCCCACTTTCTTCTCCACTTTCCCTAGAACAGAGCTCTGAAATTATGAAGTTGAATCAGTAGTAAAATGTAATTTGGCTTCTCAACATTTAATTTAAACATTTATTATGAGGAATGTATCCATGATGGAAATTGAAATAGAGCTGTCCTGTTCTGTTACTTAAACCTGGTGTTCTCAGTTGTTGTGGAATGTAGTTTCCTTAGTGACTCAGACTTAACTGTTGTACAGTCAGAGCCTGTGACGGGTGCTGGCTTTGTTTTGTGGTGGGCACCAGGGTCATCATGTCTTTTTCGTGTTTGTTTACCATTTTGGATTTGCTTCATTCATTGTCTTTTCACCTGCCAGTGTACTTTAACCTTTTCTGGATGATTTGGGGGGGTCCTGGTAATGCTTAACTGTAATTTGCCAGACTGTCTTTGAGTTGCGCTGGGTTGTTGAACCTCAGTTGCTGTGCTATTGTTTGTGTGTGTGTGTGTTTGTTTTCAATATATTTTTAGTTTCTTTCTTTCCTGTTAGGCTGCCAATAGTTACTTTTTGTTGTTGTAGGTATTCTTGCCTCAAGTTAGCCAGTCTTCCTCTTCTGATAGGCTATTTCTAATGTGATGCTAGTTTTGAAACTATTACTGCCCTTGTGAAGATTAAATGAAAGAAAAAGAGAGTAAATGGATTCTAAGATATGTACTAGTCATTAGAGGCAGCAGAAAAACAGTACAACTCTGGGACAAGATTATCAGGGTTCAGATTCTCACCTATAAATCTAGTGGTTTGTAACTCTGGACAAGTTACTTCTCAAAGACTCAGTTTCCTCATTTAAAAAGTCAGACAGTAGGAAGACCAGCCTTGGACTACACCAAAAGAAAAATCTTTTGCCTAGTCAAGGAAACCATTAACAAAATAAAAAGGCAACCTACTGAATGGGAGGGAGAAGATATTGACAAATGATCTATATGGTAAGAGGTTAATGTCCAAAGTCTATAAAGAACTTCTATGACTCAGCATTCCACCACAAATAAATAATCCAATTAAAAATGGGCAGAGGACCCAAATAGACATTTTGCCAAAAAAGACATGTAGATGGCCAACAGACACATGGAGAAATGTTCAGCCTCACTCATCGTCAGGGCAGTGCAAATCAAAACTACAGTGAGATAACACTTTACAGCTGTGAGAATGGCTAGCATCAAAAAGACAAGAAATATCAAGTGTTGGCGAGGCTGTGGAGAAAAAGGAACCCTCATGTACTGTTGGCAGGAATGTAAATTGGTATAGCCACTGTGGAAAACAGTATGGAGGTTCCTCAAAAAATTGAAAACAGAAATCCCATATGGTCCAGGAATTCCACTACTGGGTATTTACCCAAAAAATGAAAACACAAATTTGAAAATATAGATGCACCTCTGTGTTTATTGCAGTATTATCTACAATAGCCAATATATGGAAGCAGCTGAAGTGTCCATTCATAGATGAATGGATAAAGAAGATGTGGTGTGTGTGTGTGTGTGTGTGTGTGTGTGTGTGTGTGTGTGTGTATCTATATCTATCTATCTATCTATCTATATCTATATCTATATCTATATCTATATCTATATCTATATCTATATCTATGCAATGGAATATTACTCAGCCATAAAAAGGATGAGATCTTGCCAGTTTCCACAACAAGGATGGACCTAGAGGGTATATGCTAAGTGAAATAAGTCGGAAAAATATAAATACCGTATGACTTAACTTATGTATGGAATCTAAGAAAACCAAATGAATAAACAAATAAAAAGCAGAAATAGCTTCATAAGTACACCGAACAAACTGATGGTTGCCGGAGGGGAGAGAGGTTGGGGGATGGGCAAAATGGCTGAGGGAGGAGTAGGAGATACAGGCTTCCAGTTTATGGAATGAATAAGTCATGGAGATAAAGGCTACATCATAGAGAATATAGTCAAAATGGTATCGTAATAGGGTTGGATAGTGACAGATGGTAGCTATACTTGTGAACATAGCATAATGTATACTTTATGGTCTGAGAAAATCTGTGCCTTTTAAACCTCAGAAGGCAGGTGTATTAACAAACTACAGAATTTTCAAATAAATGAAGAATTCCATTACCTCACTATTGCTGTTGATGAATTAGCCTCTGACGACACTTAAGCATCAAAACACACAGTGTCTTTTCAGGTGAGAGGCTGACATGAGTGATTTGATTAAGAAAATTTTATGGAAAAGGACTATTGAACTTTCCCTGGTTTGTTTCTGCTTTGGAATACATTCTGTATCATGTGAAGAAGCCAAGTCTTTTTCCATGACCTGTTTTTATTGTTATAAAGTATTATTTCTTAGGCACTAACTGGGTTCAGAGGTTACAAATTTAAAATCACAGCATAAGCCAATCTCCTGGTTGGAAGGGATATTAAAGATCATGTAGTCAACTTGTCAGATAGCTGAGTTCTCACAAAGCATTTATTCACTCTTCAGAAGTAGGCACGTTCTATGTCTTGGGCTTATTCATTCCATCATTCAAATCTTCAGAAACTTCTGCTAGAAAGTTATTGTTTTCAGTGTTCAGTGTTGAGTGATTCTTTCTCCCCCTGTGGCTTACCCATTGATTCTGACTCTTAACTCTTGGACAAATAGTCTAATTGCTTTCCTACAATATTTAAGGCAACTCACCTGTTTTTCTCCAGGTTATAGATCTTCTGATCTTTCATCTCTTCCTTTTGTCTCTTAAAATATAATATTCAGGGGCACCTAGGTAGCTCAGTCAGTAGAGCGTCCAACTTTGGCTCAGGTCATGATCTCGCAGTTCATGGGTTCAAGCCCCACATCAGGCTCACTGCTGTCAGCCTATCAGTGCAGAGCCTGCTTCAGATCCTCTGTTCCCCTCTCTCTGCCCCTACCTGCTTGCACTCTCCCACCCAAAATAAGTAAATATTAAAAAATAGATATGTATATATAAAATGATATTCAAAACTATGGACAGTATTTCAAGCAGAGTCTGACCTGTGCTGAATGGAACAAAAATGTCACTTTGCACATCGAAGATATTGTATTTCCATTACTATATCTAAAATCACATTTATTTGGGGGGTAACCTCATCATTACCTTGACATCCTTTGAAGTCAGTTGTCAACTTAAGCCTATAAGGCTTTTTCACATGTAAATGGGCATGACTCACCTATCTTGTACCTACAGTTCTTTTAGACCCAAGGGCAGGACCTTAGGTTTATCCCTGTTCAAGATCATTCTGTTAGATTCAGCCCATTGAAACGGTCTCTTGGAATATTTTTGGTTCATGGTAGGGTCATCCAGCATATTTGTCTTCCTGCCCAACCCCTTGTCATCTGCAAATTTGGTAAGTATGTTTTCTTTTCTACATCTTTAGTTGTTAACAGAGATGTTGGCACAGGCCAGGCTGGAATCATTCCATTGTGCCATACGATTGCTAGTAGATTTTAACGGGCAGGATTGTCAGTTTAGATTGACTATTCCATAACTATAGCAGGAATTATCTTTTGGTGAGTAGCCCAGTTGTAGCTGCTTAAAAATTTAAATAAGAGATAATATGGGGCGCCCGGGTGGTTCGGTTGGTTTAGTGTCTGACTTCGGCTCAGGTCATGATCTCACGGTTCGTGGGTTCGTGCCCTGCATTGGGCTCTGTGCTGACGGCTCAGAGCCTGGAGCCTGCTTCAGATTCTGTGTCTCCCTCTCTCTCTGCCCTTCCCTTGCTTGCGCTGTCTCTCTCTCTCCCTCAAAAATAAAGATTAAAAAAAATTTTTTTTTTAATTTAAATAAGAGGTAATAGAAATAGGGATGTTCATTGAGATTAGGAACTAGTTTGGAAAGTTGATGACCCTGTTTATATTCTTATATATAATTAAGTATAATATTATATTTACTAATTAATAAAATAAAATATAATTCTTATATTCTTATGGAAGGTCTTAAGAAGAGAGCTTTATGGGCTAATTAGAGGCAATGTGGTATAGGAGAAGCCCTAAACTTTGCCCTGAGATGTTTTATTCACTTACTTATTTAGCAAATAATTACTAAGTGCCTACTATACTTAAGCCCTGGATATAGAATGGTTAAAAATAAAAAAAAAATTCAGGCTTCATCTTTGCCTTCAGTGGAACTTACATTCTCATGGGGGAAATTATTTGATAATTACATAGGTAAAATCATCATACTTTCTGTGATCTGTGTTCTAGGTAGGTGCCATGCCTAGACACACACCTTGTGTATATTGTGTATGACAAACAACACAAGTCATATATTTAATTTAAACACTTCTAGTAGCTCCATTTTAAAAAGTAAAAAGAAAATATTCTGAAATTAATTTTAATAGAAGGTTTTATTTAACTCAGTTATATTTAACTCCGCTTATATCTGAAATAATATGTAAGCATGTAAGCAGTATAAAAAAATTTGAGATATTTGTAGTCTTTTTGTTGAACTAGATCTTCAAATCTTAAACTTATACCACATGTTAGTTGGAACCGGTCACATTTAAAGTGCCTAATAGCCACGCGTAGCTAGTAGCTTCTGTGTTGGACAGCACAGCATTATACCCATCTTTACAGACTACTCTATGGTATTGGGCAAATTACTTTCCATCTTTAGGACTCCTGTTTTCATTCAGTAAAATGACGGATTTTGACTTGCTTATCTTCTAACAATTAAATGTGTGTCCTTTTCATGTATGAGAGTGCCTTCTGAGGTACTGTAAATAATCTCTCTCTTGATCTGGGTGTTGCTTACATGGCTATATATAACATGTAAACATCCATCAAGCTATATACTTAAGATTTGTGTGCTTTACAGTATCTATGTTATACCTCAATAAAAGTGTTGTCGTTTTTTTTAATAAGATCATTTTCAGTTTTTTTGATTCTGTGTTCTTTGCTGAAGTTACCCATTACACATGTGTGATATAAAAGCAAACAACCAGTTACTCTTTATGTCTTTTTCCCATCCAGGATGTGTCTAGTCCGAATGAAACAGGAAGGCCGGAGTGGGAAATACATGTGTCGTATCATAGTTCATTTCATGTGGGAGGATGTTGAGCAGCGTGGCAGAGTCATGGGGGTAAGTAAATGCTATCAGATTCTGGTCCCGGACAACTCCAGTGAGGGATTGCCTGACTTGAGTTGAAGTTTTATCTGTGCTAGAAGGGCTTTGCTTTTAGATTTCTGTGTAATGCTGCCTAATGTCAAGTGGTAATTCAGCTAGAGTTGCTTCTGCTTCTGTGGAGACTGACATGCCGTGGACACTTTATGTGTTTGCACACATTATTATGGTTTGTCAATGTGAGGACATCCTGTGCATGGAAATGAAATTGTTAAGCCCAAATAATGGTGGTAGGAGGGAAGGGATGGGTTTGTTGAATGGAGGAAATCAAATAATAATTGAATTTTAGGACACTATGCCTTTGACACCAATTCAGTGTTTGAACCAGTTCTCCTCTAAATTAGTTTTGATGGAAATACCCTGGCATTGGGCCTACACTGTCCTCAGGAACTGAAAAACAAGTCCTTTATCGCTTAACCTAGACTAATTCAGCATCGTATCTGCTGAAAATGTACATTAGTACATTTAATAATTAACCTGAGAAAGGAGAATATATAGCATATACATAACATAGAAGGTAATGATAATAGAAACATGACACCAAAACATTAGAATACAGTTGGTTATACAAAGAGTAATCTTTTCCTTTGTATATTATGTGTTTTTGTGTCTAGACCATATTTTAATAGATTGTAATCCTTGTTTTTTTCCCATTTCATTGCCTCCCAGTTGGGACCATCTAAAGCAGAACCATCAGAAGGGGTCATGAAATGGGTTAATTTATTTTTTGTTTTTGTTTTTGGTTTTTTTTTTTCATTACAAAGTTCTCCCTATGGACTGAGAAGTAAACAAAGTTTATGTATGTATTATAAAACTCATACATATTCATAGAATAAAAATCAAAGAGTAACAAGCGTTTAATGTAGAAACAATCTATCTCTTACCCAGGCAAGCTCCCCCAGAGTAACCTTTGTTAATAGTTGGTGTGTATCCTTCTGGTTGTTTTCTATACAAATGCAAATGTATAAATGTATATTCTTTTAACACAACACAGATGGGCTTCTACTACACACAGTTTTGCATCTTGGCTTTTTAACTTAATATATATTAGATATGTTTTTACTTCACAATTATTTTTAAAATTCAAAATATTTTAACTGAGATTGAAATCTCCATACTCCTCAATCTCATTCCTGGCCAGTTATCTCCTTTCAAGAAGTAGTTACTGATCCATTTTAGTGTATATCTTTTAAGGCTTTTTTCTGTGTAATTTTCTTACAGAAAATATGTAGTATTGGTTTTGTGTTTATATATTTTATTGTACATGATATCATCCTCTATGTGCTAATGTGTAATAAATATGTACTTAGTTTTTTCACTCAACAATATGTCTTGGAGGTTTTTGCATGTTGCATAGGAGTTAAGTGGGAGGTTGTCCCCCATGTTTTATTTATAGTAATTATTTTCACACACTCCTATGTTATTGTCTGATGGTATCATGTGCTTACTCTTTGTAAAATTGTGGTCTTTGAGACTAAATCATGGAAATGATGGTTGCCCATTGAGAGCGTATTTCCAAATTCCCATGTCTTTGGAGGAACTGCATATATAGGAAGCACAGAGGACATGGGTTTGTTTTTAGATGTCTTCAATAACATTTACATGCCTTTCTCTGGGACAATAGAACGTTGGCATTTATGTTCATTCTAAAATGATAGCTTATGTCAGAGTTTTATCTGCTATCATCATCATCATTATTTGTTTTGGAGATAGTGTGGATTGACTGTCTTTGTAATTGTGTTCTTTGGTTCCTTGTTCATGTGACTAAACTTTCTGCTGTCTTTGCTGCCCAGAATGGATCGTCAGCCTTTAAGCTATATGTGCAGCTTGGTGTTCTACATGCCCTCAAGTACTTACTGTCCAACGCTGTGGCAGCACACAGTGGACATGGGTGTGCTGCCAGTTTCAGATCACTTAATGGTAACCAGTGACACCCCTGGCCAGCCAAAGCCTTGGCTGTCTGACATACAGTGACACAGTAGCTCTTCTATTAGTTAGCTTGTTTTTCTTATCACTATTGACTAAACCCTGCTGGACATTGGACTGCTGGAACCCTGTGGGCCACAGCTGTCTACAACGTGAAAAGCTTCATGAACCATAGGTACTGACTCTTGAACTACAGAAACCTCTTAGTTATTACCCTTCCACCATGAATTTCCTTTGGACCTCCATATATATCTCCATCACAATCTCCAACACTTTGAACCTTCTTCTGTGTTACTTTATAATGTCACTTTTACTTGACTGCATGCTTAATGAAGGCAGGAGACCTGTCTTAATACTTTTTTGCTTACGTAGTAAACATCAGATGAATAAATACTTGTTGAATGAATGAATTGAACTTAAGCCTCTGGAATTCTATTTTAAAGCCAACTTATCAGATAGATGATACTTGATTTATTTGTTTCTAGTCCACATATACATCAGTGCAGTCCTGCAGGAATTAGTTTTTCCTCCGCACCCCCCTTCCCATTTTATCCAACCATTCTTCTTTCTGAATTGTTCTAGATATGGTGTTGCCCTACAGAGAAGTGTGTTAGATCAGTGTCTCACTTTTTATGTGCCTGTAGTCCACCTGGGGATCTTGTTAAAATACAGATTCTGATTCTGTAGGTTGGGGTGGAGCCAGAGACAGAGAGTCTACATTTCTAGAGAGCTTCAAGTGATGCCAGTGCCACAGGTGGAGCAGGGTGAGAATAGGGCAACCACACTTTGAATAGTAAAGTTTTCGATGATCCATAACACTCTCACAAGTTACAGACTTGTGAGTTCACCTGCGTGAAGAGAAATGCCAAGCCCCAGTTTAGTTACAAAGACTATAAATAAAAGATGGTGGTTTAAAAATAACAGAGGTTTGGAAGAGTTGGGAAATTACTATTATTGCTTTTCTGTTATAATTGACTTGATCCTCCCCCACCCAACTCATGGTATAAACAGGCAGACACCCTTTATGCAGGCAAGAAAATTGTTAACTACTTCTCTGTTGTGAGTGTGATTGTATGTATAGAGGGGGTCTCAGACTTCTGTGTGCATACAGCCTACAGAAATGGGAAAGTTAGGGACATGTGGCTGGAGAAAGTAGTAGGGAGCCAGTGTGGCTTTGTTCTGACCCTGACTGCCAAGTCTTTCCTCCTCTGTGCTTCAATTTCCTTTAAAAAAATGTGGATTATTGGGGTGCTTTGAAAATCTGTGATTTGAAGGTGGTAATTTGTAAATCTTTCTCTGTGTAATTTGACATCCCAGGTGTACATCTTTAAGAAAACTCATATAAAAAGTAGAATTCATAAGACTGATCAACGAAGTGGTGATTTTTTACATGCCAAAGAATTCTTAGAGGCTATTACTTTGAGTGGAGCCATTTGCAGTTAATGATGAATCAGAAATTTGAATCAAGAACTCCCTTGAAATTAGAATTGCAGTCTCATTTGGTGAGGACATTTTCATTTAAAACATTTTTGCTTTTTATCGGCTTTTAGGAGCCCAACTATTGTGAAAAACAAGGCAGACTCATATATCATTAGTGAAGTCGGTATAAAATATAAGTGTTAAATTTGAGGTTACAAAAATCACATCAATAATTTAGAGCGTTCTAACTAAAAAAAAATTATTTGGGATTTAAACATATAAATTAGCTGTGGAAATAAAGTTCATTATATCACCTCATCTGGTCTTGTTTTATTTCATTAACTGGTTCTTAAAAACCTTTGTGAGCTGAGTTGCAGCTGAAGAGGTTGGAGACCATTTTTCCTTGGGCCCTTGCCTCACTCCTGAGTGTTGGTAAGAGTAGAGAACTAAGACTTGACGCAGCTGTAAAAACAGACAGCGCCTTTGGCCTCAGCACTTTCTCCTGGTGCAGGCACATTTCAGATGTAAATTTCACTTTCTGCCTCTCCTACTAATGAAGTAAGTTTCTTTTGCTGGGTTTGCAGCCAGGTGTGTCCAGTCTTGTGGCTAACCAGGGCGCTTTAGTTAATTTTTCCATTTGTGACATTTCAACCAAACTTAAAAAACAAACATAAAAATTAGCTCAAGGCAGTGGCTCAAAGTGTTAATGGTAACCTTAGGCTGGCTAAACGACTTCCTCTCAGTTCTGCCCTGCCAGACATCTCCACCTTGTGGCTTACAATGAGCAGGTTTAAGCTTTCCAAGCTTTGGAGACGGGTGGGAAGGAATAGGTAAGAAATTCCAAGTTTATCCTTATCAGTGGTCCCTGGCATGCCAGGTGTCTCCTCTGGACTTCAGATGATTTCTTGCTAGCACCTCTCCAGAATAAGGATGAACCTCTCATCACTTCAAGGTCTTCTGTTCTCTTCTGTGACAGAGCTGCTTCATGGGGTGGTGCAAAGGGCCTAGAAAGAGGTGGAGGAGCTGTGGGCTGAACTGGACTCCTTTGTAAAATTCTACTTTGCTTTTTAGAACCAGCATTTTGCTTTGCAAGGTCCTCTGTGATCATACTCCAGACTACCTTTCCAAACTCATTTCCTCTAGCTCTTTGTGAACTGTAAATATGTGAAACCTTCTAGCACATGTGCCTGGCACATAGGAAGCACTCAATGAGCATCACATTCCATCCTTGCTTCACATACTCTTCACCCCAGCCAAGCTGAATGCCTTGGTCTTCCTGTCTTGTGTCTTTCCCCGTGCGATACTACTCTAGGTTGCCTAAACACCATAGCCCCAATTCCTTTACATCCCTCCACCCCATACTAGAAGACAATCCCAGTTGTCCCTAGCTGGAAGTACCTTAGTAATTTATATGTGCCCTTCTTCTGGCTCTTACTATTTTGTATCATTGTTACTAGTGTGTATTGACTGTCATCCAGGTGAATTGCCTGGGGGCTGCATCAGTTGTATCCTTTGTATTCTCCAAAGTGCTTGTCATTGCCCCTTGGCTGAATGCTTGCCCAGTAAATAACTGATAACCGAAGACCATTCTGGAAGCCCACTGGATGTATTGG